GGCGCATCACCGGCAACCAAGAAACAGGGTTGGGGGCTGTCACTGTCGGCACTAACTGCTCGGAGACGCCGTCCACAACAACCACTCACGTTGATTCGGAGAATTTGTTGACCTGTGCAGGGGGATAGAAGACAGTTTAGACAGCAGGGTTAGTGTGTGTGCGTGCGTGTCTGTCTGTTAATTTAATTATACACCCGCCGACTCCACAAAGGGTGATATAACCGGTGTGCTAGAACAACATAGGGGTTAGACTGGTGGACAGCACGCGCTCATCGGGTGGCACAGAGTGTGTCTCATCGCGTGAGTTAATGCGCCCAATGGAAAGCACGAGCGGTTTGACCCGATTACAAAGAAAACTATAAACATACTACTCACTTGATTTCACTAGATAAGTAAGTTTACGATAGCTTTGAGTTGGGTGAAAATTTCGGCAACGGTAGCTTATGTAGGCCCACTCAATAATCCCTTCTCCCTGCAGGTTTCCCTACGGAAACGGTGGTTATAGGGTTCTATGGGCGGGAAATTAGGACACCCAGTGGAATATACTTTAGAAACTGGTATATGCATTTTTATTTAACTGTATTTAGATGTGTTGTTGATTAATATCTGTAGATTTCCCTAATCTGTATTATCGGTTGACTTATTGTGGAAAAACCCGATTATCAAATTGCAGGTTTCTTGAATTTCCCGAAAAATTGAGATGGTGGAAAAACCCGATTATCAAACTGCAGGTTTCTTGAATTTCCCGAAAAATTGGAATGGTTGCAGGTTTCTTGAATTTCCCGAAAAATTGAAATGTTGGTTAGGAGGTCGCGATTATCAAATTGCAGGTTTCTTGAATTTCCCGAAAAATTGAAATGGTGGTGAGGAGGTCGTCTAATTCAACTTACCTGTGGTAGAACTTACCGTTCTGGAGTTAGATAAGTATAGTCCGTCAATTTACATGCGGAACAACATACTCCCAGCGGCCGCGGGAAACAACTTCGACTAAATTTTTTCACTTTAAAATTACTTCTAAAAATTTTCTTCTCTGCCTTTCCTATTTCCCCACCTCCCAAAACTCTATAACCACCGTTTTTTCAGGACAAAATGCTGGGACTAGGGGTACATGAGTGGGCCTAAATAAGCTAATTTTGCCAAAATTTAATTGTGCAAATACAGTGAACGTGCGGTACGTTCTTTTTCGCAAATGCCGCAATTTTGTGATTCATTATTAATTTTGTGCATAGTGTATTCTAAAAAAACCCTGTAAAAACTATGCGGCTGAACTACTTTTTATTCAACCTTGAACCGTTGAAATGGACTTTTTAAGACCATCTATCACTTACTCCAAATATGCTGACTAACTGACGAAATGGTTGGCAGGCTTCGACGCTCGACTGGTGTGCTTCCTATACTGGGAGTGAATCCTAGCCGTAAATCCGCTGAGTTTTCATCAAAAAATACCTGACGCACTTGAACCCATCAAAACATGCTAATATTAGTGACTTCGATGGTTGCTGTCTGAGGGGATAATTCCAGTCCTCATGCTTA